AACCTCCACCTCCGCCTCCCCCTCCTCATTCTCCTCCTCCGCCTCACCCTCCTCTTCCTCCTCGTCATCCTCCTCCTCCTCCACATCCGCCTTCCTCCTCCTTGTTCCTCCTCCTCCTGCTCCTGCTCCTGCGCCTCCTCACTCCCTTCCCCCCGTACTGCTCCTCCTCTCTACCCTCCCTCCCTCCAGCATGTCCTCCCCCCTATCTCCCTCCTCCCTCTCCTCCTCATCCTCCTCCTCCTCCTCCCCCTCCTCCTCCCCTCCCTTCCCCCTGCTGCCCCCCCATCAACACGCCCCCCGCGACTCCGAGGACCCCCTTTGCGCCGGGCGCAGGGGCCGAGAGAGTCCCGCCTCGCCGCGCCGCCGCACGCAACCGCGGGGCCCTGCTGTGCCGCCGCGCGCGCGCGGCGCGCGGGCGCCGTCAGCACAGACCGTCTGGGTCGTCCGGGTCCTGCCGCAGCCCCCCCCCTCGTTCGCGGCTTTCGGGCGATCCCGCGTTCGAGGTCCGCGGTTTGCGGGCGTCTCCGGTGCTGCACCGCGAGCTTCCAGCCTCGATGGGGCGCTCTCCACAAGCGGCGCCAGGCCGAGAGCAACCTGGGGGCGTCCAGATCCTCCCGCTACGGCCGCCGCGGGCGCGAGCTGTGGCCCGAAAAGCACATAGAGGGGGACCTGCTCTGCGTGATGATGCCGAGGCTGTTGCCCCTCGTAATGCTCCTGCCTCCTCCCCCTCCCCATCTCCTCTCCCTCCTACCTGCTCCTCCTCCTCCTCCTGCTCCTCCTCCTGCTCCTCCTCCTCCTCCTCCCTCCTCCACTGGGCCCCCGCCACCTGTCGTCCCTCCCGCCTGTCCTCCTGCTCCGCGTCCAACTCTCACTCGCTCTCACACCCGCACCCTGTCAGGAGCGTGCGTGACGTTCGGGAAACACAGCTCTTCCAATCCTCCTCGTTTACCTGCTCCTCCTCCACCTCCTCCGCCTCCTCCTGCGCCTCCGTATCCTCCTCACCACCACCACCACCATTGTCAGCAGCAGTAGCATAATCAGTATCTTCACCACCACCCCTACACCATCACCATCACCATCACCATCACCATCACCATCACCACAACCATAATTATCATCATCCTCATCATCATCATGATCAACCTCATCAGCAGCATCATCATCACCAGCATCATCATGATCATCATCATAAGCATCATCATCAGCAACATCATCATTTTCATCATCAGCAGCAGCAAACTAATTATCATCGTCATCATCAACAACATCATCATCACCATCGGCGTCATTACAATCACACTCATCATCATCATCCTCATCGCCTTCGCCTTCGCCATCACCATCGCCAACCGCAACATCGTCATCATCATCAACATCGTCATTACCATAATCAACATCAACTAGACTCGACTTCATCATTACCGTCACCGGTATCAGCATCGTGATCATAATCAGCATCACCATCGTCGTCACCTCGGTCGTCGTGCCCGCCACCATCATCATCAACATCAACTCATTCATGATCATCATCGTCATCGTCGTCGTCACCATCACCGTCACCGTCAACATCATTATCATCACCACCATGATCACCATCACCATAATCAGCATCACCAGCATCAGCATCATTATTGTCATCATCATGATCATCAATATCATCCACACCACAACCAACATCACCACAAACATCATATACCTCATCACCATGATCATCTCAGTAACAAGCATCCGCTTCATCCTCGTTGTCCTCATCCCCCCTCCACGTCATGATCCCCGTCATGAACATCAGAATCAGCATCACCACCACCAGTATCATCACCATCATCACCATCACCACCACCACCAACCACAAGTATCGTCAGCAGCATCGTCGCCATCATGATCATCATCCTTCTTCTCGGGAGGGCACCCCAATTTGGGCCCCCTCTCCATCGTGGACCTTCTTCCCCTATACCTCCATCGGCAGTGAACATGGTACTGCAGGCACCCTCGGGCTCGGGTCAAGACCCACCTCTCCAGCACCCGAAACTGAAGGGCGCTCGAAGTCGAGCATTGGGGCAGCTGTTGCCCCACGGCCAGGAGGTGGGCATGGTTGGCCCCGCCTCCCGGGCACGCCGCCTCTGGAGCACGCCCGGCCTCCCCCCGGGAGCCTCACAGATGGGGGGGGCACGGCGCCCCTGATCCGACCTCGTGGGCTCCTCGAGTGCGCCAGAAATAGGTCTGCTCTCGCGGAGACCGCGCTCAAAGCACAGGTGGGCATCAGGGGATCCTCTTACGGTTCAGAGGAGTGGGGCCCTGAACGCAGATTTCTATGAAGAGCACGAACTCTTTAATCTGATCGAAGGGGTTGGTTTGGGTAGGTAGCTGGATCTCCCGTTCCTTTCCGTGCGAAGGAGGAGGGAGGATGTGTTTCCCTTGTCCAGCAGGTAACGCTGCATTTAGGCGCAATCCACTGTGCCACCAAGGGCACATCTGGGGTAGGCAGACTCCCAAAGGACCACCAAAGACACGTCTTAGGCCGAGGCGTAGCGCCCACAACGAAACGCACCAACATCATCACCATCACCATTACCATCACAATCACCATCACCGCCATCACCATCACCATCACCATCACCATCACCATCACCATCACCAGCATCACCTGCATCATCAGCATCATCATCAACATCATCATCATAAGCATCACCATTATTTCAATCAGCATCATCATCAACATCATACGTGTCATCACCAACATCCGCATCATCATCAGCATCAGCATCGTCACGTCATCATCAGCATCATAAGCATCACCATCATTATCATCAGCGTCAATCATCTTAGTCATCGTCATTGTCATCATCATCATCATCATCATCATCATCATCATCATCATCATCATCATCATCATCGTCATCACCGTCGTCATCATAGTCAGCAGCATCATCATCGTCAGCAGCATCGTCATCCTCATCACCATCGTCAGTACGCATCATCAGCATCATCATCGTCTTGGTGGGGGTTGTCCTGGGACTACGCATTTGCGGCCAGCCTTTGGGTACGCAGGATGGGAAGGCGCCCCTCCTCGACAGGGCTACGTCCGAATGCCCCCCCCCGGAGGCACGATTGAAGGCGACACCAGGCGCCCTAGAGACGGCATTCCGGATGGAGGTGTCCTCCCGCTCTCGCTCGAGACAGGGCTGGACCTAAACGCTGTTGCTCGTGTTGTCTTCGCTTTGCTTTTCGTATTGCTCGACCTGCACCTCCCTGCCAACACGAAAGCCACGGCCGAAATCCAGCAGAACAGCGTTCAGGTCCAGCCCCGGCTCGAGACACTCCCTCAAAGCTCAGCTCGGGGAGGCATCGTGGACCCTGTCGCTGGAGGTGGGCCCCCCTGGCGGTGGTGGCGCCTCTCTCTCCTCCGGCACCAGGGGTCTCCCCCGAGCTCTCCCCCCATGCTCTGAGCGGCCTGGCTGCTCGGGCGGATCTCGGAGACTGGCTCGCAGGAGGGAAGCGGGTCCCGAGGGGGCCCTCCCCCAGGACCAGCTCGTCGTCCTTACTCCCGAGCCGTTCTCTGACAGCCCCCGGGGCCCGTGGAGAGGGCCCCGAAAGCCCGAGGACGGCGAGCAAAACCTCGGGACCCGCTTCCCCCGTGGAAGTCTGGGGGCGAAACTGAAAAGCGCCTGCGAGAGTGCTGCGCGATCACCCCCCCGCCCTCCGCCCTCCGCCTCGCGACTCCACTCCGCGACGAGCCCTCCACCCCGCGACCACCCCTCGCGGCGCCCCCCTCGCGACGCCCCGACCCACTCGCGACACCCCCCTCGCGACGATCCCTCCCCCCCCCGCTTCGCCCCCGCGACCCGCCCTCCCCTCGCGAGTCCACGGCCGGCGCGGCCTCCCCCGCCGGCGGGGGTTCGCCTGGCGTGCGGGCGCCGCCCGCGCAGGTCCCACCAGGTGTACCGTCCGACCTGCAGTCGACCCACATGATCAGGATGCGCGGGGAGGATGCAAGGGCCTCGGAGGGCAATGTTGACGTTTTCTCGAACGAGGCTGGCCAGCGCAAGTCGCCACGGATGGGGCGAAGGGGAAGGATGCACGGGTAAACCTTGGTAAGGCTGCTCATTCTTACTATGCGGGTCGACTGCAGGCCAGAAGAGCATCCCTCAAGAACGCGAGGCCATCCGCCGCCCGAAACAAGCAGAACATCCACGGGTACCCTCCCAAGGATACACAAAAGAGCATGCTACAAACACGCAGGACACTGAGATACCCTCCCCAAACGTACCTCAGTATGATACCTCGGTCTGGCTGTAGCTGAAGAGACCACAAAAAACAGCAGAGTGAGTTTTGGGGCTTTGCGCCCTGGGGCATGAAACATATGGCAGAATTAGCTAACGCGAAGCAGGATACTTTGCCTCCCCGAATGCGGCGCATGAATTCAAATATCGTAAGTTAGCCTGTGTGGCGATTCGTTTGCTCGAAATGGTTTCCCAATGATGAAACGTCATGTGTGGGTGAGCAATTGGGTTGCCACTGCGCGGAACGGTTTATGCTTATGCCCCTGCCTGCCTCCTTCCCCTTCTTCGCCTCCCCCTCCGGCGTCGGACCACGATATCGCCAAACTAGACTCTGGCGCCGGGGCGCCAAAGGCACAGCGCGCGCCTGCGGCATCGGACACAAGTTGCCGCTTCGCACGCCCTCGTCCCTGTTCTTTCTGTCAAAATCCTCCCCCCCCCTCAAGTGTCCACCGTGTCGGTCCACAGTGGCCAAGCTAGACCCGTGCTGACCAAGTTTTCCTAACCCTGACACTGACCGAATTGCCCCCTGACGCTGCCAAGTTCGAGACCGTTGAAGTGCCAAGTTCGAAACTGTTCAGCTAGCTCGTTTGGTCACGGTGGCGTTTCCCCATGGTGCCGCCGTCTTTGCCAATGTGCAACATGTCGTCCGTGTCAGGTCGAACACGGTTCGCTGGTGACCTTTCGTTGGTGACAGCTCGTTGATGCCACCCGGAGGGGTTCGTTCGCGCTCGTGGCTATGGTGGCTTCGGTTAGTGCACAGTGAGCAGTGAGCAACGAGTTGGAGCCGAGGACGATGTGATTGGGCTACCGAGCAGGCTGATGCACAGTTGGATGAGAGACGAAGGCCACACCCCCGAGGTTGGTGATTACGTGACGGGGATTCAGTTCCCCTGTGTGGGCGCGTTTTCACTCATTGCGGCAAGGTGCAAGCCTGTCGACGACCCATCTTGCGCCGTGCCACCTCGGTTGACCCGCTTCATGCGAGACGACTTCGACGGTGGCGTGAGATTCGTCTTCAAGTTGGCGACACCAGATGCGACCCACTCGCTCAGCAGGCACTTGCCACGGAACCTCCCCGAAGGTGAGGAGGAGGCTGGCAACTGGAGACAACTGGCGCTAGATCCGAGGATGTGGGCCTGGTTCTCGGTGACATCGAGCGCTGCGAAGACAAATTAGCAACTGAACTCTGCAACGACATCACGAAGAAACTGAGGACTGTGCCAGCTTCAGAATGGCAGAGGCTGTTGAGCTAGAAAGAGATTCGGCTAGGAGGTTCTTGAGCTGGGAGAAGATTCGGTTGGGGAAGGAGAGCGTCATCGGCGCCAGATTTTCCGGTACCAGGCCGAGGAGGCGCGAGCGCGACCAAGACCGGGGAAGCGCTCAGTGGGAAAAGGAACATGCACGTGCACCTCAATTTTGGAAGGAATTGGGGCTCAGGGGGAAACTGCAGCAGTACGACGGGAAGGCTCCAACGGTGCTGAGCTGGGGAAGCGTAAGCGGCAAGCTGGGACCAGGCGAGAAGACGAGACAGGAGAAGCCACGAATCCACACGTCTGCCACTTGCGCATCCCCTTTGCTGTTTGCGCCTCCCCCGCTGCCTCCCCGAGCTGGGAAGTTGGGGTCGAAGAGGCGACCTTGCAGAAGTCCCTCGGAATGGGACGGATTGTTGTCCCTCTGGGGAAATTCGACTGCACGAGCAGTCGATCAGGAACAGAGTTCGTCGTGGGAGGCATGTGCAAGAACTTCGGCGAGCCAGGACACTCCTTGCTCACTCTGCTGTCCACCAGATTTGCGACGGTTAAGAAGGCCCTGGGGCTGACAGGGCGACCTGGCGGCTCCCTTGATTTACATGGCCAGGATTTGCCGCGTGCTGCTCGTCATCACACCGCCTCGCCTGACACTCTGTCTCATCTGCTCGCCCTGGGCAGTCTCGGCGGCGCCTCTGAGGCGCAACGTCAGTGGCAGCCTGGCCCAGGAGGGGGCGAAACATCGACCTGGCATGGGCGATACATCGCCGACAGGTCGGCGATGGGCCCCCGATGGCGATGCCGCACGGTCCTGGGCGGGGTGGGCCATCAGCCTCACATAGCGATGACTGGCGATCCATGGGCGAGTGGGGGTCGATTCGATGCATACCCCTGACCGCATTAAAAAAATTCGCAACGATAACGGCCTTGCCATTATGGGGGGGGAGGGGGGGGGGGACGGCATAACGCAAAGCCCCCCCTCCCCACTGACTGTGGAGCGGGCGCACTGCCGCAGTGCGGGGGGGGGGGACTGACGGCTCTGCGTTATGGGGAGGGGGGGAGGAGGGGAGGGGGCATAACGCGAGTCATGGCCCAGTCGTAGTCGTAGTAGTCGTAGTGATAGTTGTCGTACCAGTAGTAGTAGTCGTAGTAGTAGTAGTAGTAGTAGTAGTAGTAGCAGCAGCAGCAGCAGCAGCAGCAGCAGTAGTAGTAGTAGTAGTAGTAGTAGCAGTAACAGCAGCACAGTAGTCAGCAGCAGCAGCAGTAGTAGTAGTAGTAGTAGTAGTAGTAGTAGCGTAGTCGTAGAATAGTAGTAGTAGTAGTAGTAGTAGTAGTAGTAGTAGTAGTAGTAGTAGTAGTAGCAGTAGTAGTAGTAGTAGCAGTAGTAGTAGTAGTAGTAGTAGTAGTAGTAGTAGTAGTAGTAGTAGTAGTAGTAGTAGTAGTAGTAGTAGTAGTAGTAGTAGTAGTAGTAGTAGTAGTAGTAGTAGTAGTAGTAGTAGTAGTAGTAGTAGTAGTAGCAGCAGCAGCAGTAGTAGTAGTAGTAGTAGTAGTAGTAGGAGTAGTAGTAGTAGTAGTAGTAGTAGTAGTAGTAGTCGCCGTCGTCGCAGTAATAGTAGTAGTAGTAGTAGTAGTAGTAGTAGTAGTAGTAGTAGTAGTAGTAGTAGTAGTAGTAACAATAGTAGTAGTAGTAGTAGTAGCAGTAGTAGTAGTAGTCGTCGTAATAGTTAAAAACTAATAATAGTGGTAATGGTAGTGACAGTGACAGTGGTAGTGGTAGTGTTAGTGGTCGTGGTAGTGGTAGTAGTAGTAGTAGTGGTAGTACGTAGTAGCAGTCGTAGTAGTAATAGCAGTAGAAGTCATCGTAGTAATACTACTACTACTACCCGTACTAGTAGTAGTAGTAGCAATGGTAGTAGTCGTAATAGTATTAGTAGTATTAGTAGTAGTAGTAGTAGTAGTAATAATATTAATAGTAGTCGTCGAAATTGTAGTAGTAGTTGTAGTCGTAGCAGCAGTAGTAGTAGTAGTAGTAGTAGTAGTAGTAGTGGTAGTAGCCGTAGTAGTGATAGTGGTAGCATAGTGGTCGTAGCAATCGTCGTGGTGGTAGTAGTAGTAGTAGTAGTAGTAGTGGTAGTAGTAGTAGTAGTAGGAGTAGTAGTAGTAGTAGAAGTAGTAGTAGTAGTAGTAGTAGTAGCAGTAGTAGTAGTAGTAGTAGATAGTGGTAGTGGTAGAAGAAGTAGTAGTAGTAGTAGTAGTAGCAGTAGTAGTAGTAGTAGTTGTAGTAGTAGTAGTAGTCGTAGAAGTAGTAGTAGAAATAGTAGTACTAGTAGTCGTAGTCGTAGTAGTAGTAGTAGTAGTAGTAGTAGTAGTAGTAGTAGTAGTAGTAATAGTAGTAGTAGTAGTCGTAGTAGTAGCCGTAGTAGTGATAGTGGTAGCATAGTGGTCGTAGCAATCGTCGTGGTAGTAGTAGTCGTAGTAGTAGTAGTAGTAGTAGTAGTAGTAGTAGTAGTAGTGGTGGTAGTAGTAGTAGTAGTAGTAGTAGGAGTAGTAGTAGTAGTAGTAGCAGTAGTAGTAGTAGTAGTAGATAGTGGTAGTGGTAGAAAAAGTAGTAGTAGTAGTAGAAGCAGCAGCAGCAGTAGTAGTAGTAGTAGTAGTAGTAGTAGTTGTAGTAGTAGTAGTCGTAGAAGTAGTAGTAGAAGTAGTAGTACTAGTAGTCGTAGTCGTAGTCGTAGTCGTAGTCGTAGTAGTAGTAGTAGTAGTAGTAGTAGTAGTAGTACTAGTAATGATAGTACTCTGAGTCGATCCTTACGTCGGGCATGTCCCTGTACAGGAGGAATCTTCAAAAATAGTCAAAAAATATGGGAACGATTTTTGACCATTTTTGAATTCCTTTTGCGCATTTGTTTGACTATGTGTTATTTTTCGCCCAAGACCGTCCTGTAGGGGGACATGCCCGACCTAAGCCGATCCCCCCCTATCGTTGCCCCCGAGTCTCGGACCATCCCGGAGCCCGTGACGCGCCTGCCCCGTCGCGCCAGTGGATGAAGTAGGGGGCCCGCCCGCCGGGGCCGGGGACGTGTCCGACGCCAAAGGCGCCCCCACCCCTGCGCGGCCAGGCAGAGAAGAGGGTTCGGGTTGACCCAAAAGGAGGTCCAGCTGCAGAGGGGGTGGTGCAATAGATTTGGGGCAATTGTGTCCCAAATGCATTGCGCCGGTATTGCGTTGCGCTGCAGCTAACGCATTGCATGCGAAAACCCAGCAATACATTTGCGCCGCGGAATGTATTGCACACCCCAGAATGTATTGCAACCCCACAAAGCTATTGAACCAAATCCACTGCACCACCCACTTGTCGCCTTTGGGGTCGACCCGAAGAAGACGCCCCCACCCCTGCGCGGCCAGGCGGAGAGGAGGGTGCACGAGAAAGGGCCGAAGGAGGGGAGAGCAGTGGAATGACCCTGGGCTCCTGGCGATTCAACTTTTTCGAGCCAGGCGCTTTGGCTCAATTTTGGTTTCCTGGACCCTCGCACATCGATCCGACTCCAAACATGACGTAGCAAGATGTCGTCAGGGGGTCTGGCCGTGACTTTTCTGCGATGTCGCATATTTTGGCGAAGTAGGATATCTCGGGAAACGCTCAGGGGCAGGCTGTCCAGACAAGGGGGGCTTTCTCTTGCTTCGTGCACTCGGATGAAGGGTTACGGCGAGCTGTTACCGAGCTCCCGAAGTCCTTCTGTCCTGGTATGTTGTGCATACCATGACATGTGTTTGAAATGTTTAGCAGATGTTCTAAATTCCAAACATGTCTAAACCAGATTGCTAAATGTTTAAGACATGTTTGAACCATGTTTGGTGACGTCTGGTAATAATTTGGCAGCACGCTTCCTCTCGATTGATCGCCTTCCACAACTGTCATGCCTCCTCGTCCTGGCAAGCTCGCCTGCCGCTGGCGCGGCCAACCGCAGCTGCCTGGCCAGCCGCGCCACCTCCACCTGGGCGGCTGTGGAGGGGGGGGGAGTGGGCAGGCTCTTGTGAAGGGCCCCAGACACACACGCACACATACACACACACACACCGAAATACAGACATTCCAAGATTCCAGGCGTAATTCCATGTATATTCTGGGGCTTCGTCTTCCCCCCTACTTCCCATATTTAGTCAGATTTCCCAGGAAGCGACGATGAATTGTGTCTGTGTGTTTTTCGCCCTCCCGATCTAGGAAGTGACGGGGGAGCGTTCGGCCAGGACCAGTCAGCATCGAATCCGGACGTCGGCTCCGATCGAAGCGGGCATCGAACCGGGCCGCCCCAGCACCAAGTGCGAATCGAGTCGGATCGTCCGTGCCAGGATGCACGCCACGTCACCCTGCAAGCATCGGGCCGCATCTGATCGACAGAATATCGAAATCGAATCGGCTCGGGCCAGTCGGAATCGGTATCGAATCGGATCGATCGGATCGCGGTCGACCCTGTAGTGGGGGGGTGGGCTGGCTCAGGGGGGGTGGGGAACATCGTCCTGGAATCGGCGATGCATCGCCGATAGATCGGCGATGGGGGCTCGATAGCAGGTCCGCGCGGTCCCAGTCTTGGCTGGGCTATCGGGCCCCTGTCGGCGATGAATGTCAGCGGCGCGCCAGGGGGGGGAAGCGAGAGGGGTCGGGACTTGTCAACAAGCTCGGACGTCCTTGGGCCTTCCGAGAAGTTGTCTACACCACGCGAAATGGTTAAGAAATCATGGGTTAAGAAATTCATGGTCTCAGAACTCGAAGAATAACCCAACATTTCTATCAAAATCTTAGGATTTACATTGAAATATTAAGAATAATCGAGACTCTGGCCGAAAACTCAAGTTTTCTTAAGCATCGCCTAAGGTGTAAGCCTTCGCCTCAGACACAGAAACCTTCTCAGAAGGCCGGAGGGCCTCTGAGAAGCCGCGCCGCCTGCTGAGAAGGCCTGCTCCTACTCACCTGCCCCCCTCGCTCGCCGCCGAGAGCGGGCGACAGGGGGGTCGATGAATTTCCCCCGAAGCCCATGGACCCCTAACGTTGTCCCTGAGTGGGGAGAGGTAAGGAACCAAACTCTATACACCGACGCTTTTTCAGCCCCACACTGGAACTCGCGAAGGAAAACGGATCCTGGTGCAGATGTGCACATGGTTAACACTTCCCGCTTCCCGGGGAACACAAGGAAAACGTATACACGACACAACCCCGACGTCGTCCCCGGCCCTGAACAAACCTGGGATTGAAAAGCCGCCCGCCACTGGTAAGGTGTACGCTCTGGTTTCCGAGAAGGTAGGAGGACAGACAATCGGACGGACGCTCGCGTCCACGCGAAGCATGGCCACAAGCGCGCGGGTCAGGAGCACGAGCCCCCTTCCCCCAAGGCCCACGGACCCATGTATATGCCCAGGGAAGAAGGCGAAACCAATGCATAGACAGGACCGTTCGACGGTCCGCGCGGACCTCTTGGATCTGCGCGCGCTCCGCGCGCCAGGGATGGGGGTCCAGCCAGCTCCAAAAGATCCGCGCAAAACGTCGAAAGTCTACTGCCGTTTTTTCTTTTTCGGGCAGAGCGAAGAGCATTCCAAGGTGGAGAATCCCATCGTGAAGATCCGAAGAGCAGCTACCCCTCCTAAACTAAGATTGTCCTTGCACGGTTTATACCGTGAGCGGGCTGTACGAACTGGGACGCGGCTCCCCAGGAAGGAGCACCGCGGTGCCGAACTTTCGCACTAGCCCACAAACCCTCAGGCAGCCGCTGGTTTCGCCCGGGGCTGGTATCGCCCGGCTGGTTTCGCCCGGCTGGCTTCGCCCCGCGCTGGTTTCGCCAGGGCTGGTTTCGCCCGAGGCTTCGCCCGGCTGGTTTCGCCCGGCTGCTTTCGCCTGGCTGCTTTCGCCTGGCTGCTTTCGCCTGGCTGCTGGAGGAGGTGCAGGAGGAGGAGGAGGAGGGAGGAGGAGGAGGAGGAATAGGTGGAGGAGGAGGAGCAGGAGGAGGAGGAGAGGAGGAACGACGAGGATGATGAGGAGGGGAGGAGGAGGAGGAGGAGGAGGAGGAGGAGGAGGAGGAGGAGGAGGAGGAGGGGAGGAGGAGGAGGAGGAGGAGAAGGAGAGGAGGAGGAGGAGGAGGAGGAGAGGAGGAGAGGAGGAGGAGGAGCAGGAGGAGGAGCAGGAGGAGGAGAGGAGGAGGAGAGGAGGAGGAGGAGGAGGAGGGGAGGAGGAGGAGGAGGAGGACGAGGAGGAGGAGGAGGAGGAGGTGAGGAGGAGGAGGAGCAGGGGGGTAGGACGAGGAGGAGAAGGACGAGGAGGTGGGGGAGTTGGGGGAGTGGAGGTGGAGGTGGTGGAGGAGGTGGCTGAGGGAAGGCAGGACGGAGGAAGGAAGGGGGGGGGGTTGGGGCCGCCGCACCCGACCCGACCCGCCCGTTAGGGTCTGCCCGTCCCGACCCGACCCGACCCGCCCGTTGGGGTCCGCCCGACCCGACCCGACCCGACCGTTAGGGTTCTCGCGTGCTCTCTCGATTATGCACCATACTTTAATGTCCCGCCCGCCCGACTCGGCCCGCCTTTTGGGGTCCGCCCGTCCCGGCCCGACCCGCCCGTTAGGTTCCGCCCGACCCGATAAGGGTTCTCGCGTGCTCTCTCGATTATGCACCACACTTTAATGTCCGCCCGCCCGACCCGACCGCCCGTTAGGGTCCGCCCGTCCCGACCCCCGACCCGACCCGCCCGCTAGGGTCCGCCCGACCCGACCCGACCCGACCGTAAGGGCTCTCGCGTGCCCACTCGATTAAGCACCACACATTCATGTCCCGCCCCCACAACCCGACCCGCCCGTTAAGGTCCGCCCGCCCCGACCCGACCCGACCCGCCTGTTTGGGTCCGCCCGACCCGACCCGACCCAACTGTTAGGGTTCTCGCGTGCCCACTCGATTATGCACCACACTTGAATATCCCGCCCGCCCGAGCCGACCCGCCCGTTAGGGTCCGCCCGCCCGTCCCGACGCGGGCGAAACCAGCGCAGGGGAAAACCAGCGCTGGCGAAACCAGCGGGGCGAAACTAGCAGGGCAAAACCAGCGCTGGCGAAACCAGCGTCGGGCGAAACCAGCGCCGGCGAAACCAGCGTCGGGCGAAACCAGCCTCAGCGAAACCAGCATCGGCGAAACCAGTGCCGTCGAAACCTGCCCGTGCCAACCCTCGTAGGCCGATCGATCGTCATCGTCAAACCATATACTGGGGACTCTTAGAAGGCACTCGAAAGTGTTGCCAGCATTCCCGGTGTATTCTTGGGCGATCCCAAGCACGCCCTGGAATGAGCGCGCGTGACGTCATGATGTCGGTAGCAGGCAGCAGGAACAAGTGGAGGAGCTTCAGGAAGAATACAATGACCATACCTTGCTTCCCCTCAACGCTACGATGCACATTCCGCGACTGCTGCGTGCGTTCCCCGGGTTTCCTCCCAGTGCCCACGCGCGCCCGCCTCGCGCCCGCGTGCGCCCGCCCCTTGGTGGACAAACCTCCTTCAGTAAATCTCCCTTTAGTGAAAACGGGGCCTGTGGACGCAAACCTCCCTTTCGTAAGCCTCCCTCTAGCACGCCTCCCTTTAGTAGACCCCCCCCCCTGGACCCGCAACAAGAACGGACGCGACGCCCTCTCGCGAACCGAAAGCGGCCGACCCACCATGGTCGGCGTGTCGGGGCGGGAGGCCTGTCCGCCACCCCCGACCCCTGCGCTGCACGCGGCGGCTCTGGAGATGGCCTGGCTGCCCCGGGCGCCGCCCCTGCCCGCCTCTCGCGCCTGCCCTCCGTGCGCCGGCGAGCGGCCTCGCCCGGAGCCCCTCCTCCCGGGGCCCGCCTCGGGCCCCCCCCCCCTCCCACAGTGCGCTCTTGCACCGCGCCTGCGCGCCTCGGGCTGCAAAAGCGCGGCTTCGGCCTGCGGGCCGCAGGGCGGCGAGCAGAGGGGGTGCACCAGGCGAGCTGCTCATGGACTGCCACCGCGTTCGTGGCACCCCGTGGCTCGAGGCACACCGCGCACACCCGACAGACTACGCTGCATGGAATGAACCCCAAGTGGAGGTCAAGAACGCGCTGAGGTGGAGGGGCGTAGGAGGGCCACCTCCTCTGCTGCAGGAGCGTGGAAGACAGGAACGCCGCCACCATGTCACCAGGCCCAAGAGCCATTTCAATCCAGAAGACAAATAAAAAACAAGACACTAGAACCCATCGTAAGTTTCTGATCCGTCCTCCCCCTCCTCCCTCCAACCCTCTTCCCGCCTCGCTTCTGACTCCTCCAATCGCCCCCCCTCCTCCTCAATCCTCTCTCCTCCTCCTTCTTCTCCTCCTCCTCCTCCTCCTCCTCCTCCTCCTCCTCCTCCAGCACCAGCTCTTCTGCCTCTTCTTCAGGGGAGCACGGCGAAAGACGTGCGCGCCCTGCCACGTCGTGGATCGCCACTCCAGTTGGCGAGGCCGCCATCACGCCACGCACGCTGGCGAAGAGGCGCGTGAGATCGCGTGCGCGTGCGCCTTTGCTTCACTCCGAACTCCATCTTCCCCCCCCACCCCCTACTGCTCCCTCCCAGTCCTGCCTCCGCTTCTGGAGGCCTCCAGGATCGGGGCCCGCTTCGGCGGGGTCGGAACACCGCACAGCATCGCCGATGCACCCACGATGCAAACCCCGAACATCTGGCGTCTCAACTTGTCCGAGACGCGGGACCCCCACTTCTCGAAAACTCCCCTGGGACCGGCCTGTCGTCCCGAGTAACTCTTGGACGGTCCCGAAGGCCGGTGAGGACACCGGGACGCCGAAAACTATGCAAAACCTGGCCCGACCATTCGAAACGCAAGATCAGGGCTGAACCTAACCGGTGTTTTTCGTTTTCGTTTTGTTTCCGTATTCCCTCGCTTTTGTCTCGAATCCGTCTTTACCGCAAAACGAAGCCGAAACGAAAACGGCCCAAGAAATCACAAAAAAAAACGTTCAGGTCCAGCACTGCGCCAAGTGTCTGGGTCAGCGACGTCGGAATGACCAAAACCGGGCCCCGACTCGAGCAGCATCGCCGACGCATCGGGGGTGCGGCGCGGTCCTCTGGCCCCAGCCTCTCCGACCCCGCTCGCGAGACACGGCTCCCGACGCTCGGGCGCGCTCGCCCGCACGTTCGCCCTTCTGCCACGCCTGTTCTGCAGTCTGTTGCACCCCGTCCTCCCTTCTCGGACCTGCCTCCTCGGAGGCGGGCCGATCCAGCAACCAGCATCCTCCTCCCTCCCCCCCTCCCCTCCCTCCCTTCCCTGCCCCCACTGCTTCGGGGATGGTCGGGTCGGGCGAAAGGGGGGGATAGCAAAGGGGGGGGTTTGAGAATCAGCTCACGTAGCTGATTTTCCCGGCGCCTCCCGGCGCCAGGAGGCGGCCATGTATCGAGGAATGGACTCCTCGGTGGGGCCGAAACCAGCTGCATGCAGCAAATTTCGTAACCCCCCCTTTCCCAATCCCCCCCTTTCGCCCGGCCCGAGATGGGTAGGGGCGAGGGGGAGCGAGCGGCCAGCGGCGAGAGCGGCGCATGCCGCCCCGCCGGGGGCGGGCTCGTCCTGCCCGGGCACGGGGGGGCGGGCCGCCGATGCCCCGCCCCTGGGAGGCCGGCCCGCCTGCAGGAAGGACCAGACCTCGGCGCGCGGCGCGGGGGGGATGCGAAAGAGCGGGGTTTCCACCAGCTTCGCCCTCGGCCTGGTCGGGGGGTCCTCTTCAAAACAAGTCTATCGCTGGGCGGTCCCTACCTTTTCGCAGAGGGGACTTGAAATGGAGCGTGCACGGCAGCAGTCTTGATGCATCCTGGGCTGACTATGGTCCTCCTCATCCTCCTCCTCTTCATCCACCTCCCCCCCCTCCAACTCGATCGGGAAAGTCCCGATTTGCTTGCTCTCTCGAGGTCTGTGTCCTGTGTCCTCCCTTCCTCCCCCCCCTCCGACCCGTACGTCCGATGTCCCGACTACTTCGCAAGGTAAGCCCGCGAAGCCCTGACCCCTTCCCCTGGAGCCAGCTTGTCACCCCAAGGCGTGCTGGAAACGGTCCCGGGGCCCTGTTGCAGTGGGGGTTCGACCACGAGAAACCTTCCACAGGAGACCCAACCCTGAGACCCCAGGGCATCCACTGATTTTTGGTGTGGCAACGTCACGCTTTCCACTGCAAGCCCGTCGAAACCAAAGAACCAGGGTGCGGCTTGGAATGGGCCTGCACTGTTGGCTTAAGTCGGGCCTGTCCTCCTGCAGGGGGATTTTGGGCGAAAGATTAAAAATACCCCAAAATAGTCAAAAATAGTCAACACATCGTCCCCTGACTATTATTTTACTAGTTTTGAATTATTTTTACTATTTTTGAATATTCCCCCTGTAGAGGGACACGCCCGACTTAACTGTAGGCCAAGAGCCCTCGAAACCCCAAAAATGTGCCACAAAACCTTGCGGGTGCGAAGAGGGCTGGGTGCGCCGGGGGGCCCTCCCGCCGGGCCTGCTCCCTGGCGAGCCTCTCCACCTCCGCGGGGTCGCGCGCCTGGAACGCGGCGACCATGTCGGAGCCCACCTGGCACTCCTGACAAGCGAGGTGCCCTCGCGCCATCGCTGCCATCCTAACCCTTCCGCCCATCCCTTCCCACTGCGCTGACGTTTACTCGGTCCGGGGACGGGTGTCACAGCGGGCCTCGAAATCCCAACAAGACCACATCGTGGTCTGCCAAATGTGCCAAAGGGAAGCTGCCTATATAGGAGGAGGAGGAGGAGGAGGAGGAGGAGGAGGAGGAGGAGGAGGAGGAGGAGGCGGCGCGTGTGCAGGAGAAACAAAAAAGCGAGCATCAGGAGCAGTAGGAACTGGACTGGAAGAAGCGGGAGTAGAAAGAGGAGCAGGGGAATGCGGAGGAACGAAACACGAGGGGGTGACAACGATGAGGATGGACTCGGATCCAGCAAAGAGGCCCGTGCTGGGGCGAGAGCGCCATGCTGAACGAATAGGGCAAAGCCCCGAACCAGCGTTCACCTTCAAGAGGGATTCCTCGAAGGCGCTCAAGGTAAGTGCACAGAAGTGGTACAGCCCTGGGATCATCGGCGGGCCTAGCAAGCTTGAGCCAAACAAGCTTGAGCCCATGGCTTGAGCCCATGGCTTGAACTAAAATATATTGAAACAAAATGGTTCGAGACAAAATGGCTACGGAGAGGAGGGCCTCCCAAGAGGCCCAGATGGGCGAAGACGAGGGACGGGTCGTGGTAGCGGTACCTCACGCCATGCCTGGATGGTGCGTAGCTCCTTGCATCGGTCATGAGGCCGAAGACACCAAGCCAGGGCCCAGGCATGCCCTGGCCAGGCGCATCCTTCGAGCTTGCCATCGCTCCGAACTTGCCCGCCCTGCGCCCGCCGCTCTCTGGGCGCGTCCTCGGACGTCCCTGCCCGACAAGCTTTGGCGCGGCCTCGCCCCCCGCCCCTCCGCCGCCCTGCTGGCTCGCCCGGCGCCTGCCCCCGCTGTCTGGCCCGCGCCCTGGCGCCCCTCCCCGCGGCCCGCCGCTTCCTGGCCTGCCGCCGCCCGCTGCTGCCCCGCGAGGGGGCACCTTTTCCTGCCTGGCCTTTTGTTCCGGCACGCGCGCGCCAGCGATCTCGCATCGACGCCGCGACGGCGCGCCTGGCCGCGACGGCCGCATGGTGCGCTCCACGCCTCCTCCGTGGAGCCTCCCACGCTGGCTGCGCAACACACTTGCGGCCGTGCTGGGCTGTTTCGGGGGGTTCGCGGGCCGTTCATGGCCTCGCTGGAGCGCCACCAGCGCCGTCGCGAACGCAGTGGAAACCTCGCGCGCGGTTGCTGAAAATGCGCGTTGCCCCCGGGGGGTTGCCCAACTACGGCCCCCCGTTGTCATCTCGGGGAACGCCAGGGGAAGTTCTGGAGGCATCTAGTGAGCGCCCAAGGCCCTTGTTGAGGCCACCTGGGGCCTCGTGGAGCGCTCTGCGTGCGTCATGGACATCCCTCAAACTGTCTGGACGGTTACGGTTTCTGGACCCCCTTTGGCACGGAACAGGCAGCCCGGTCACCCCATGCGCCGTCAAGGGTCGGGCACCGCCCCCCCCCCCCGCCTCGTGCCCAGTGACATCTATACATATACAGATGTCTATATCGGTATAGCCCATTCAAGATCCTTCGGTGTGGCTTTCCGGGGCTAGAATTTGCATTACTCTACACGGGCGAAGCGGGTGAGGCGGACGGGGCGGGACATGATGAGGTGGCGAACGGAAAAGCGGAAGGGCGGGCGGGCGGGCGGCGGTCGGGTCGGGATAGGAATCGACTTCTTAAGGACTGTGGAATACTGGTTGTTGTCTTGGAAACGGGGGCTGTTGAGTGCAAGGTGTTGTCTAGGAGACGGAGGCCGTTGAGCACAGGGGTGGTGCATGCGACACGGAAAGCGGGCGGGCGGGCGGCGGGCGGGCGGGAATCCACTCCTCAAGAATGTTCTCTTGCAGCGGGAGCTTGTTGAGCACGGAGTGTTGTCTTGGAGTCGGAAGCTGTTGAGGACAGGGTGTCTTCTTGGAGACGGAGGCTGTCCCCTCAAGATTGATGGAACTTGAACCGGACGGGTCGTTCGGTAAAGCGCACGGAATCGTGGATGCCAAGAAAACTGCACAGGGGGGATCTTGAATGGCCTGTACCATTATCTGTTTATGTCTAAATACCTTAGTATGCGTAGGTCAGACCACACATGCATACATGCATATACACAAATATACGCATGCTTACGCATGTACATTCACATTCACATACACGCACATGGGAACCATTCGCATACACATACGCAAACACAGCGGACCTTAGCTGTTCTTACACTCACACTACACTTAACCATGCACGTGTAAATCATGCATATTTATATAACATATGCACGGACATCCGATGTGCATTTACATCTATCAACGTATTCACAGGTGCGCGTACACATACATAAGCGCAGACATGTGCATACATACATCTATGACCTACACATGCACGTATGCATAACCAAAAGCATGTACGTGCATATTCATTCATATGTATATGCATATGCATATGTATACATACGTAACGAGATATATCTCGGCATACACTTAGCCATAGGCGCGCAGATCTCCAGACACACACACATATGTATATATTTACACACTGGCATCGCCATTCACAAATATATGAAAGTTGGCATACGCGTGCACCTGTACATCACCGCATCCATATACATCGAACTATACAAATATACATTCGTGTACTGGCACATGCATGGGTACGTATGCATTGGCATACCACTATACATAGACAAATGCAAACATATGGACATGTACACATCGGCATACGCGTATACATATACACATACACACATTATACACAAAAAACATCGACAAACTGCCACACAACCACCTATACGTTTACCGGGTACCTTACAGCTGCATATACATATACATATGCATCTGCACATACATTTGCATACACACATAATTCCATACTCATACGCATAGACATGCGCAGATGTATTCAAATACACATATAATACGTCCACATACACAGTTGACTACATCCACGGATACACTTACATATGATACACACCTACTCGATGGTGCTCGCCGAGACAAAATGCACACGTCCGAGCGACTCCAAGCTACCACCACGACGCTCAACCGTAGGTAAGAACGCACCATGCAGTGGAGGAACACAATAATCGGGGAGACGTAAGACCCGGGTACGGGGGACTCGGAAATCCCCGACGAGGTCGTCAAAAAAATGACGAGGCCGAGCCTGCATTTTGACGAGGCCTCCCGCTGCAGACATCCCACGAAACTCCTCCTCGTCAAAATCCGAGGCGCGGTCGTCAAAAAACGATGGCGAACCCGAGTCCTGGCAAACCCAGGTCTTACGCTCCCCCGAAATAAGGCAGAACACACAACATGTCGGAGCTCCTCGCCAGCGTCTTGGTTCGGCGCTGGACCTCCCTCCCTGGCGCGCGGAACGCGCCACGGGCGGCGCCACAGAGGCGCCGTCAGGGGGGGCCCGGCGTCGACCCCAGAAATCCCCGCGAAACTCAAAACGTTTATGCTTAAGACGCCTTGCTTTAGGCCGGGCATGTCCCCCCACAGGCGGACTGTGGGCGAAACATAAAAAAGAAGCAAAACAGAATCAGAACAGTCTTCAAAAAAAGTCTGGAAATCGTCCCCCGCCTATGATCATATGATTTTTTGGGATATTCCTCCTGTAGAGGGACACGCCCGACTGAAGCCTTGCTGTTTCCCGATGCAAGTCAGATTTCTGAAACTCCAGCGGAAGACCTGAATGCGAAGGACGTCCGCAGCCAGAGGCGCTCGAACGCCCCCCGACCAGGCCTCTCCCCGCGCACCGCCGTCTGCTCCCGCGTGCACGCCTCGCGCGGGCCGAACTTCCCGCCGCCAGCGCTGTTCACCGAGCGTCGGGCGTCGCGAATTTCTTGTCACCCCGTGCACTTTCTCGCCCTAGAGGCCTCCCAGATCGGGTCCGAATAGATGAGGTCGGAGGATCGTGCCGCATTGCCAATGCATCGCCGACGCATCGGCGATGCAACACCGGCAGCGGCGGTGCATCGGCGACGCCGGCGTGGAGACAAAACGGCTGCACGTCGAGCCGCGTCGCCGATGTATCGACGATGCGGCGCGATCCTCCGACACCGTCCACTCGAACCCCATCGAGGAGGACCAAAACCACAGATCGATCGGGCTCGAAAACTGCCGCAGAACGACGGGGTGTCCAGGGCGGCAGTCGAAGGCGGGCCTCCGCGGCTGGCACCGGGGGAGGAGCAGCGAGCGCCTGAAGCGACGCAGCCAGTCGAGACTAGGACGGGGCGCCCTGGGGAGGAGGAGGGAGGAGGACGAGGAAGAGGAGGTGGAGGAGGAGATGGAACACTTTTTTTGGTATGCGGGTCGGGAGCGGGCCCCTTCCGGTCAAGAGCTAAACGGGGCGCGAGTAGCCCTAATTGGGGGAGGAGGAGGAACACATGAGGGAGGAGGACCAGTGATCGAAGCAGTGGCATCCGTTCCCAGCGCCGACTGGACCGGCAGGCGCGAGGCCCGCGAACGATCGCGGGGCGTGGCGACGCGCGGGCGGCGAGCGGTCCTTGGAGGACCACCATCCCTCGAACTCGCTACCCCTGTTGAGCGCCTCCTCTCGAGGAGGAAAACACTTGGGCGATGTCTCATGGGGGCCATCAATCGTCCTCCTCCTACTCCTCCTCCTACCCCTGCTCCTCCTCGTCGCCCTCCTCGTCCTCCCTTTGAAGTTGTGCGGACCCGGAGCATGGGCTTGCGGCTTTCAAAACAATATCCTCCTCCTCCTCCTCCTCCTCCTCCTCCTCTCCTCCTCCTCCTCCTCGTGGTCCTTCCTCCCTCCTCCCTCCTCTCCTCCTCCACCTCCTCCACCTCCTCCTCCTCCTCCTCCTCCTCCTCCTCCCTCCTCCTCCTCCTCCTCCTCCTCCTCCTCCTCCTCCTCCTCCTCCTCCTCCTCCTCCTCCTCCTCCCCCTCCTCCTCCCCCCCCTCCTCCTCCTACGCCCCATTGGGTGGGCACCCTGCGTGCCCCTGCTGGGGTCCTTCCTTCGTGCCCTGACTTCTCGCCCCCCCCCCCTTCGGTGGCAACTCACGGGAGCCTCCTATTCCATCTCGTCGGCTCCCGCGAACCGACGCGCCGGTCGACGCCAAATCGACGCCAATCAGAGCCGAACCGACGCTCATCGACGCTAAATCGAGGCTACATCGGCGCTATCTCGTCCAATCCCAAGGCAAACTTAAAGGGGGTATACCAGGCCCCAATGATCTGAGACCGAGCCCTCCCGTTGCGCCACGCCCGATACCAACAGAAACGCAGACTTCTGGAGCTCCGCGCGGACTCCCTGGGCCGGGCGCTGGGCCATCCGGCCCCACAACGCGCGGAGCGCGCCGCGGGCGGCGCCGAAGCCGCCGCCCGGGGAGGGTGGCTTTCCCAGGGGTCGGCGGGCCCGCGGACCGGGGTAAGCCTCTTGAACAGAGGATATGTCGACCCCCACTCCAAGGCTTCGTGGGTTTCCGAATAGACCAGGAGTTTGGGGCCCAACCCTGGGCTATACAATTGGGGGGTGTCCCTCCTCGACAATGGTGCGTCCGAACAGCCCCCTTGGGATGCAAAACCAGGGCTGTCCCATCTGTCTGAGCGGCCAAAATTTTCGGGCGAAACTCGGGGGAGAATCCTCGCCCGCGACTCTTGGATCACATCGTCGGAGATCTGAGGAGGCACCCTGCCCTCCCACAAGCCCTCTCCTGCCGCCCCTCCCCCCTCCCAAAAGCAATACCTAATAATAGCAATAATAATACACATAAGCTAAGAGCACTGATACTAATAAGAATGATAACGCCCCCTGCGCGAGGCCGGAGACGTGCCTCGGGAGAAACGCCCAGGAGAGCCCGCGGAAGCCCTCGGAGAGGCGGGGGTGGGGGGGGGGTCAGCGCAAACCCAACACATCGCGCCCAGAGCTCCAACAGTTCGATGCTTCGGCGGCGAGCCAGAGGGGGAGGGTGAAGAGGAGAAGGCTTCCTCTAGAGAGCAGAGACTCCACCCTCACAATCATCATCCCGATACGCGAAGTCGTTTAGTAAACGCAACCAAGAAAAGGAATCGAGCAGGGCAGGGCTGTTTAGTAAACGCCCAAGGCTGTGTGACAACTAAGCGCCAATTATCGAGTCCAGGTGGTTTTTGTTCCTCCCTTGAAACGCAGGAGGCGACGGGACTTCTCAAAGCCCTCGCGCCTTCTGAAAGGTGTTCTGTGTTTTCGAGAAGGCTTAGAGCTCTTCTCAGAAGGCCGAGAAACTTCCGAGCCTTCTGAGAAGGCCTTCTCCTTCTCGTTTCCCCCCAGGCTCGCCGCCGAATGCTGGTGCAGGTTGTTTCTCCCTTGATCCTCGGCCCGCACGTTGTCCCCCAGGTGCAGCATGATGGCCACCTGGACGGGGGGCGTATCCGCAGGGCCATCGGGCGCTTGCTGGCCGCTGGGCATCCCGCAGGCGGGGGGCCCTCCATTGGTGACGGGGGAGAGGTGCTTGACATCGGAGTGCGCAAACACACACAATCACAAACGCACTCATGATCTGCTACGCCGCGCTGGTAAGGTCCAGCCCGCGGCCCTCATCAAGCACGGGCCGGAGCAGATGAGGAGTCCTCTTGTGCAGCCGAAGGTCTACGCCTTCCTGCGCACGCACGTTCGATTTCCCCGCCAGTGGATGTGCAGCGGACGAGAGAGCGGGCCGCGCCCAAAGGGATTAGACCCCAAACGTGTGCCAGCGGATGGCCGAGCAAGAGCACGCGGCTGACGCGTGCACGGGAAAAGCCAACGTGGCGGAGGCCAGCGCACGCGGAGTACACCAAAACACGAAAAGTACCACAAGAGATGCACAACACAGCGCAGGAAGGAAACCATACCACCGTCACCCGCGACCCACGGAAGAGCGCGACACAGCGAAAATAAGGAGCGCAAAAGACAGCGCAGCTGCGGCGACAATGAGATCGGCTGAAAGGCGATGAGAGCACACACACACACACACACACACGCGCAAACGACAATGAAGATTCGCCACCGTGCCTTCAGCACATCGTGAAGGGCCCCAAGGCTGATGCAGCCTTGCAGCCCTGCGAGGTGAAGGGATCGAAGGGTTCTCAAGTGCCCAGATTCCAGGTGCTCCAACTGGTTCTGGGTGCTCTTGGGAGCTTCCAGAAGCTCGTGGGAGCATCCGGTAGCTCTTGGGAACCTCTGGGGAGCGGAGCTTCTGGACGAAACCAAAAAACGACCAAGAAGGTTCAAAAAACCTTCAGGACGGCCCAAGAGCGCTCCAATACGCCCAACATGGCCCCAAGACAACCCACGAAGCCCACAAGAGCGCTCCAAAAGGATCCCCGAGAGGGCCCCAGGAGGCTAAACTCGACTCATGCATGTTCGACCCTCATATTCTGGCACTTGTTTAATCACGTCGCCTTTTCTTTCTTAGCTTCCAACGCTCCAAGACAGCCCAATATAACTCCAATAACGCCCCAGGATTCCCCAGAGGCCAGCAGGAGGGCTACGAAACGCCCCAAGACGGCCCCATGACGGCCCAAGACGCCCCACAGGGGCGCAAAAGGACAAAACCAGGAATGTCTCTTAATTCCCCAATCAGCGCTTGCCTCTGTAGGGGTCCTAGCGGATTCATATGGTTAGGTTAGGTTTGCCGCCGACGCCTGGGTGCCCGGGTGCCCGGGGGTGCCTGGGTGCCGGGGTGCCCGGGTGCCTGGGTGCCCGGGTGCCCAGGTGCCCGGGTGCCCGGGTGCCCGTGTGCCCGGGTGCCTGGGTGCCCAGGTGCCCGGTAGCTCCATTGTAGCCCTATGATAGCCCTATAGCCCTATAGCCCAAATAGCCCTATAGCCTTAATAGCCTTATAGCCCTATAGCCCTATAGCCCTGTAGCCCCATAACCCTATAGCCCAATAGCCCTATGGCCCCGTAATTAGCCCTGTAGCCCTATAGCCCCATAGCCTTCTAGCCCTATAGCCTTATAGCCCCATAGCCCTAAAGGGCAAAAGAGATTATGATTGGGGCTGTTCTCCGGTATCATGTGTTTCAAGGAATTGGCCACCTCACCTTTTTGTCAGCATCCAACGCTCCAGCACTGCCCACGACACCCCAAATAGCGCCCCAGGACTGCCCAAGAGGCCACCTGGAAGGCCCCCAAACGCCCCAAGGCGGCCCGAGAGCCCCCCAAAACGGCCCAAGGGGCACCCACGAGGGCCCCGAAACGATCCAATAGGCCGGCAAGAAACCCCCATGGCGGCCCAAGAGGTCCCCCAATAAGCCCTCAAGAGCCCTCCAAAAGTCTCCTGAGAGCCTTAATCAAGAGATCCCCATATGCATCCAAGAGGCCTCTGAACCACAGCCCACGCATCCGCGACTTACCATAATGACCGCCATGGGCCGAGGGCTGACAAGCCCACCCCACTGGTCTTGTCCCCGCCTCTCCCGAACGCACCCAAAGTGCCGGGAAGGTGGCAACGCGGATGGGAACCGATTGAAGAAATCGCTTCCGTAAGACCCCGCGTGGATGGTGCTTGCATCGTTGTCGTCGTCGCCTGCGTCGACGGCGATGGCAAAAACGCCGACCACGACGACGTGGCCGCCGCCAATTCCTGCTCCGCACCTCCTTTTCCTGCGCCTCCTCCTCATCATCCACGTCCTCCCCCTCTCTGCCACCCTCTTTTCCTTCATCCTGCCAACATAACGGCTCTGTTACTTTGTGAACACATCAAAACTGACCCCCCCGCGCGCGTCGCGTGGTGCACCGCAGGGCTAACACGAAAAACAAATGTCATCAACTCGGGACATCCATCGATCACCTGTGAAGTCTCAAGGCAAGCATGACAGACTGTCGAACGTGATCACTACAGACTTGTCCACAAGCACGAGTCGTGCGCTGCGGCTCCCGATCGATTCACGAACACGTATGCTAACTTAGAAATCACATCGGTTACTGCCAAAATTCAGCTTCTTTCCAAACCACCATGGCGCCATCTTTACCGTAAGCGCTGAAGAACTCGCCACCCGCCCGCGCGCGTCCTGCGCCGCACAACATTATTACCGCGCGAAACGGCACGTCAGCTTGGATATCGAATCGGTGACCGCTGACGGGGTCACATTAATCTTCTAGTTAGAATGGCGATTTCCCGAATATGAGCACTGTGGAAATCTTCGCTCGCGCAAAAATGCGCACGTCGTACTGCGCCGCCAGTCGACATGCGAAAATGCACGTTAAGTTGGCAATGCAATCTGCCACCGCTGAGGAACACCGTTCGTTCCCAGGCGGGCACAGAGGCGCGTCGCATCTGAAAGCGGCGGGCCCCTGTCATGCGCGCAAAGACCAAAACCAACGTCATCGTGGAACCCCAGCCCGCCACCCCTACGGGCGCAGCTAACATTCAGCATCAACACTGCTACTCGCCAAGCGGCCCCCAGGCCACCATAAACACTTTTCGCGGCGAAGCAGGCGGAAAGGGGCGCGGCGCGCATGCCCCACGATGCCGGCCCACTCCTGCTCAGACGCGGCGAAGCTACTGCAAGACGCCACGCGCCCCCCTGCAACGCGGGCTCGGTGATGGCAGGACAAGGCGAAGCAAACGGAGGGGGGCGCGGCCCCCTTCTGCAATGCCGGGCGCGGCGAAGCAATCGAGAGGGCGCGGAACACACCCATGCAACGCTGGCACTTAGTGGTTGGGCGCGGCGAAGCAAGCGAAAGAGGGGCTCGGCGCCCGCCCGCCCCCCCCCCCCGGCCCCGCAGCGCTTGCCCACCCATGCTGGGGCGCGGCGGGGAAAATGATATGAGGCGGCGCGGCCCGCAAAGAAGCAAACGTGGGGGGGCGCGGCGCGCCCCCCCGCAATGTTGGCCCGCCCCTGCAAGGGCGCGGCGGGGCACGAGAGGGGGCGCCCCTTCCCCCTGCCCACCTGCAAGGCTGGATGGAGTACGCATGGTCGGACGCGGCGAAACAAGCGGACGGGGTCGCGGCGCGCGTCCCCGTTGCGACAGGTCCCCGGTAGGACGCGGCGGGGCCAGAAAGGGCGCGGCGCGCAGCCTGCAATGCTGGCCCAACTGCCCCCCGGACGCGGCGAGGCAAAAGACGGGGCGCGGCGCGCCCTCTGCAATGCCTGCTCGCCCATTGACCGTAGGGCGCGACGATGCAGGCGGGGGGGGCGCGGCGCGCCCTCCTTCAATGCTTGCCTGCTCCTGCTAGGACGTGGCGAAGAGAACCCCCCCCCCGCCTGCCCTGCTGGCGCGCTAGAGGCACGGCGCGACGAAGCAGGCAGAGGGGGGTGCTGCGCGCCACCCCATGCAATGCTTGCTTACTCCTGCTAGGACGCGGCGGAACAGAAAAAGCGGCGCGGCGCGCGCGAGAGCGACGCCCCACCTTCCACCCCACCCCCCACCCAACGCACACACACACACACATACTCACACACACGCGCGCGCACGCACGCACGCACGCACGCACGCACGCACGCACGCACGCACACATACACACACATACACACACACGCACACCACACACACACACACACGCACGCACGCACGCACGCACGCACGCACGCACGCACGCACGCGCGCACACACACACACACACGCACCTACACATACATACGCAAACACGCACGCACGCACGCACGCACACACTCACACACACACACGCACACACACACACACACACACGCACACACACAAACACACACACACACACACACACTTGAGGATTACACATAAGTGTTTAGTTGACCAATCTAGGGGCGAAACGTATCAGTGTCCTGCTGCCACGCCTATAGCCCATGCTACTGATAGCTGCCGAAACCGTTATCCCACTTAGTGGGATTGTTCACCTAGCATCCGCTGCTTCAGCCAACTTCCGCCGAGAGCCAAGAGGGATCAACACAAGATTGACATGCCCTTTCCCATGGCAAATATCGTTCCTCCATTCCAGAACACTCCTACATGTCGCTCTCTCCCTCTACCCTTTCCCTCTCTCCCACGAACAAAAGCCGCTCCCTCACCCCTCACGTCGTCCTGGGAATCCTGGGCATGCACCTAATTACACTTCACCCGTTGCGCCTTCCTTCCGAATTAAACGAATTGTTGCCTACTATCTCTAATACTTCGCTTCTTCTGACCTAAACTTCTTTTGTGGCATTCGCTGCCGGCTGCCACGGCCGCCCCCCACGCCCCCGGCAGTTGAGCAGGGGATGCCCACTGGGGTCGTTGCAGCTCTTTCTCCTACCGATCCTACTTCCTACGCCTCTTTCTCTTTGTGTGGCCGCCCATCTCGATGACGCCTTCCTTTCCTAAAGATTATTTGGCCTAGTCTAGATCGCCGTCCAACGGCTTATCTAATGAATTCGTGCACCATGCTTTTGGTCTTTGGCAGCGGGGGCTCATCTTGC